ACCTGATGAAAGTATTTGTATGTCTTGGTTCTACAAAATTTCCTAAAAGCTTATCATGAATCCAATGACTGATAAAGAAAAGGAGTTGGTCACTTTCCAAACATTAACATTCTATATAAGTAAAACAAGAATATGACCCTAGAACCTTATTTTGGTGGTGGTCCCAGGGATTTAACCCACTGGCTTGCACATGAGGCAAGCACTCTACCTCTAGCTCAATCTCAGCTCTACCCTAAAAACTTCTGAAGACTCCATGTAACTCAGTTCCATTGTAATCAGCAGGGCAAAATGGAATTTTAAAGGTTAGAATTTTTTCTTTAGAATCTAGGGTTCCAGACTTCCTCTGGCCTAGCTAAAGGGATCCACCACCCCTCCTCTCCTTTGTCTAGAGCAATGGATAAAATGTAAGATGCTGGCCCCAAGAGTCAGGGTTTCCTTCCCACCAGGAAGGAAGGGAAGGATGAAGCAAGCCTAAAGTTGTCTATTGTCTCCTTGTATTCCATCTCCCCTTTGTTTCTTACCTTTATAAAAGGCCCTTGCATACCTGGACACAAGGTATGGTGGTGATCTGTGGCATCTCCTCAGAGCTGGCTTTGAATAAACTCTCCTTTCTTTTCACCTTGCCTCCAGTGTGTGTGTGTGTGTGTGTGTGTGTGTGTGTGTGTGTGTGTGTGTGTGTGAGAGAGAGAGAGAGAGAGAGAGAGAGAGATGTGGCAGGTGATAAAGAACTCAGCTGTCAGGAGCACTGTTACCATCACGTGGACTGAGTAGACCCATTTATTTATTATATGTGAAGAACCACCAATGGCAGGCAGGCCTGAGATCTAAAATAATAATAAGATTCTGCTACTAACATAATAATATGCTTTGGAGCTATAACTTATTTCTATTTTAATCCCAAAGTGCAAAATGGACTCACTTCAACGAAACTCTAAAAAGGCAATTATTGATGGACACATTTAACAAAAATAATTACTGTTCAAAGAAAAGAGCCTAAAAAAGGTAAGGTCTTAAGTGATACTGGGGATATAGCTCAGTGGTAGAGCACTTGCTGAGCACACAGAAGACCCTGGGTTCCATCCTCAGAACCACAAAAACTAAAAATTAAAGAAGCCAGGGATTTAGCTCAGTAGTGCTGCCACCTGCCTTGAGAGTGCAAGGACCTGAGTTCGATCCCCAGTACAAAAAAAAAAGAAGAGAAAGAAAAAATCCTCATAATACCAGTTGATTCTGGGTTGCTAAAAATTAGAACTTTGGTATAAAATTGGAGTTGTATAAAACCTAACAACTTAATGTATATTCACTAAAATAGTCACTCGATAGAAAACAAGGTTCAAGGATTTTCTCACAGTTCCACTTGTAGACATGATTTGCAATCAATAATAGACCTTATAAATTCCTGATTTCCTTGCCTAAGCTTAACTAGTAGCCTCTAAAACTCAATGAATTTTAACTAGAATATCTGCACATCAATAACTAGCATTTTCATTCTAGAATCAAACTGCAACACAGCCCCCCAATGACATCCAAAGGAGGAAATTTCCCCTTTCTCAAAGTTTGATATTTCACTCTATAAAATTAACTGACAGATTAGCTAAAGAAAAGGCATACAAATTTATTATGTAGAAGCACACAGATGCCACGAAAAATAGACAAAAAAGAGACAGGGCTGGTGGTACAGCACAGTAGTAGAACACTTATGCAGAATGTACAAGGCCCTGGGATCTGTGTCCAGCACTGCAGGGGGGGGGAGGGATTAAATAGCACTGAGCTACAGAAAAGACAGGGATTTAAATATCTGATGGAGGGGATAAGGAGAAGGGTGTGGGGAGGGAATGCACTCATTGCTGATAAATTCTCTCAGGTAAAACCCTCAGAAAAATATGTGACATCCTGTGGTAATCTGCAGAAAGATGGGAGTATCTGTAATCTTTCTCAGATCCAGACAAGGCAAATAAGGTGGCCTCAGAGAATGCCTGTTTGCATAGCTGCTGATTTCACTAATGCAGATTTTTATCTGCACACTGAACTCTCCTCCATGAAAAGGACAGATTTTCAGAGCTATTCCTGTGTCTGAATACCACCTCTCTGAATAGTCATCTGGAAATATGCCAAAGAGGCACACTTTAGGGTAGCATATTTTAATTTCCCACAATATTCAGAAAAAGTGGAAATATTAAGTCTAATTTGATCTACAGACCTAATTAAGGTCCAAGGTAAGCAGGGCACAGACAACAAAACATGAGAGCATCATTTTCACTAAGTGCCCCCTGAAAGCAGACAATTATTTGAGGATGAATTTGTCGAGGAATTTGCAGAGAGGAGTACGGGGTTTTGAGCTGTGGGCCTCTGCACTGATCTTCATCCCAGCCCTGCTGTGTTTTATTTTGAGAGAGGGTCTTGCTAAGTTATCCAGGTCTTAAACTTTCGATACTCCTGCCTCAGCCTTTCCAGAGTGCTGGGATTACAGGTGTGCACCACCACGCACAGTTTATCAGGTAACATCTTTTGTAGCCTGAAAGTGACATTAAAGTCTTAACAGCAAGGAAACAAATGAGCATCAAGGGTCTACTTATATATAATGAACAACAGGAAATAATTCCTAGTATTTGTTGTGCTCTTACTATGTGCTAGGCACAGTTAATTTTCACCACTATACTAGGAGATAGGTGCTTTCAATAACCACACTACCGATGAAGAAGCCTAGATACACAGTGGCTAAATCACTTGCCTGAGATTCATGTTATGGGGCTGAAACACAAATCCTGTCTTTCTCTAATACAATTATGATTGATTATGTTTTCATAAGTACCATCTAAGCCTACTTCTACTACTGCTCTCTTCAAAAGGTACTAAAATCCACTTTAACATAACAAAACCCCCACATTTAAAATAATTTTCATATAATTCACTATTTAAAAGGTAGGCCTTTGAATTATGAAAATCTTTAAAGCAAATAATTTTAGCATAAAAATTATAAAATGCTAGCCTAACAGTTAATATCTTAATCTATACGACAGTGTCTTCAATGAGAGAGCTATCAGCATTTCTACTAATAATGAAGTATACAGTTTTAAACTTTTCTATAAAGGCTCATACAGTTTTACATCATTTCACATATAAAAGTATTCAAACTTCTCCATTCTTAGAAGGGAGCAGTATCACTACTAATCCAAAAACCATTTACAGTAGGCACTAGCATGCATGCTTTAGAAATAAGCAATGTGAATGTGATAAAAAGGAAAAACTCTGGACTGGAGTCCAGAGCATCTGCCCACCAATCCTGGCTCCAGGACTAAACAGCAGTTTAGTCCCTTCAAGTACAGTACTCTGGCCCTTGGTTTTCTGATGTGCAAAATAATCATCTCCATGGCTGAATCTTCCAGCTCTAAAAGAAATGTGGCTTATGCACATGTTTTTTTTTTTTCCAAGCTTCCATTCTTGTTCTGTTTAATACCATTACTTCACAGCCAATAAACTTTATTTTTCTTTAGTTCTACGATGAGAAGACTACAATTCAAACAAGGTGAGAAGTGAAAGCCTTCCTCATATCTGGTTTGTCATAGATGATTCTCAAGGTGAGGAATGGAGAAGCCACTACAACATTAAAAGGTGTTAGGTTTCCAATATGTTAGTCTACTGTTTTATATTCCAGTACATTCTTTGTAAGGACAAATAGTAAAATTCAAGGACAACAGGGAGAAAAACTAATTATCCATTAGTTACGCAAGGACTAAAAGGCCAACTGAAAACATTAGCACCTTTTTGCAGAAATGTATGATCTAATATTTTTCTAAATTATGTTTAAGTACTACTCCCTAATCAAATGAGCTTTCATTTCATAAACTGTACAGTACTCAGCAAATGTAAGGAATTAGTAACATATACAAGACTAAGAAAATATTTAAAAGATTAAAGATCTAACTGCAATTCTTAGCATACTCTCCAGTGAAACGAAAACCCTTCACGGACTGCCACAGAAGTGGATTCTGTGGACAGCCACTGTTGGTAGCTAATCTTGGCATACCTTGTCTCGGTTCCGAACTCATTCTCAAAAGAGTTATGTAAATGTAAGATTTAAATTAAATTATGCATTTGACAAAAGATTCCCAACCATTAGAAACGCAAGCTGATTTTTTAGTATTACTTTCTACAGATACTAGCCTACTACCATCTCCTTCCCGATTCGATGCATAAAGTTAAAATATTTTAAAACTACAAAACACATAGTTTAATTCTGCATGACCTTGTTTAAAATAATCGAGGAAAGCATAGATTAATCTTCTGGAATAAAAGTCAGTAGTAAATTATAATTGTACATTCCAGCCTAACCATTAAGTTGGGAAGTAAACCACCAGTGTAGTTGGAGAGCATGCTACAAGAATTCCAAGGTATAGTTATAAAAATTTCCAGCACAATTAGTAACTAAACAAAATACAAAAACATACATACAATTTTAAATAAAAGATCACTAACGAAGTCTAGCAGCGAGCCACCTTTTGGCTGGAATGCCAAAAGAAAATGTCAAAACCTCTTCGTGACTCCGATTCCTCAAGCCTCTCAAAGTTCAGGACCAAACCGTCATGTACTTAAAGTGTTTCGTAGCATCCTTTAAATGCAACTCCCTCTACACAAAGTCTCTCCGCTTCAGCTACACGACCAAAGCCCGGGCGGCACCAAAGAACCTTCGGAGACCAGGGAGTTGCAGCGGGGTCTTCTCGGCGCCTGCTCCCGCATCCTCTCCTCAGCACCTCGGGTTAAAGCCCCCGAGGCGCCCCCAGTCCTCACCAGGCTTGCTCCCAGTCGCCTTCCCTCATCTCCCACTGGACCTTTTCTCGTCGACCTTGAGGAACCCCCAACATCCAAGCCTCAGAGCCCCAAGTGTCTTGGCCGGTGCCTCCCAGCCTGCACCCCGCGCCCGGTCACCTCCCCTCGACCCACCCGGATAACGAATGCCCTCCCACTAGCCCCGGGCGACCCCTTCCCCTTAGGTGCCCTACCTTCCTCCGACCAGAAAAGCAGTTCTCCAGAAACGCCTCGGAGCCTACTACGCACCAGCTCCCACTATGAGCGGCTCGTCGCACAGGGGCTCGGGGCCGGGGGTCCCCGTCCTCTTCCCGGCCGGCCCATCCCGGCCAGAGGCCGGTGCTG